AAGGGGTATCCATCTGACAAGTAGTGACCGACTGTGGATATCTGGAAGCTGATAGGAGAGAAGATGAACTAGCATAGAGAAGAACAACGAAGGAAGAAACTGACTACCAACCTACAGTACAGTGAAGAAAGTCGGAAGGAGTGGATAACTGGAGACAAACCAGAGTCAAGAACCTCCTGACTAATGAATATGCTGAAGGAAATGGAGATGGTCACATACTGAGGAGAATTTCAAGTGATACCATTCGCCCCACCAGATTCTTGAGTGGAATCCGAATGGGAATAGACGAATTCGACTCCTGAGGTTTGCCAGAATTGAATCGCCTTAATATTTTCACATACTTTTTCTGGTCGAAACGTCATCAGAATGAATCGGAATGATGAGTGAGTGAGTCTCTTAACTCCATGATCCTAAAGCAAAATTAACCGATAGACGAATGCTCATTCAGACATTTACGAGAAAACAAAATAATTGAGCAAAGAATATCCCCCTTTCGGTAATTTCCTCTTCCCGCTCTACAATTATATATACGTAGAATATTCTGGAATAGTAATCAGTAACAATATTAGTGTTTTTTAAATAATATCGATTTGTTAAGTAAGATCATTGGGATTGCCACAGTTCAAGAAAGATACATAAATTACAATAATAATGAAGATATAATTGCAAATAAAATAACAACTAAAATTAAGGAAATGTCTACAAAAAATTGAGGATCATTCAAACCTGGTTGGCCATTGGGGTAAGGACAGTGTCTGAGCTAGCTTCTTTTGGACACATAAATTAAGCTTCATATTGTGGATCCCAACAACCAGCCTCAACAGTATTTAGTAAACGGACTGTTAAGGCGAAGTTGAGATATATTGTTATGCAGTAGATGACTTCGAAAGCCACCTGGTTGACATCAATCTTGTTTTCTGTATCCAAATGATGAAATAGAAATAGAACATCTTGAGCAGCAATTTGTGAATTGTTGGTATGCGATTCGCTCCCGCCAAATGTGTAAGATGATGTTACACGACTGGACTATACTGACTCCTAGCTTAGAAATAGGGAGTGAGGTGGTAGAGCACGTTGACCACTTCACTTATTTGGGAAGTTGCATCAGCCAACGACAACGGGTTGATCGCTGACGAAATCTTAGCATGGATACAGAGGGCTAATTTCGCATATGCCAGTTTACGCCGTCTCTGGCTTAGTAGATATGATATCCGGCTATCGACCAAAGGACGTGTGTACTTCTCAGAAGTCCGCTCTGTCCTCATTTATGGCAGTGAGAGAGACGTGGCCATTGAGAGTAGAGGACATGAAAAGGCCGGCTAGCTGTCTTCGATCATAGGTGCCTGTGTTCTATCTCCCGTGTGAATTGGTATAATAAGGTGAGCAATATTGAGGTTAGGCATCGGTTGAGTGCTAGGTAGGTGGGAGGGGAAATCAATAGACTAGATGGCTGTGAAGTTACATCGATTGAGATGGCTAAAACATGTGTTACGCATGCCTAGCTTTATCTAGCCATCGCCTTCCTCGACATGCAACGTTAGCGGACATAGGGTCAGGTTGGAAAAGAGCTATCTAGTGGTGGTGAAACTAAAAAATGAATTCATCAGTCAATGAAATCCACAATAGTCAGCTTAAGTCACTTAAGAAGATGTAGAATTCCTGGTTGGGGTCCTCGGAACGGTAAAAACCAACGAAGGCTGAAGGCAATCGATGATATGGCTCAAAATTGTTCTCAGTGATGGCTGGCGCAGATGCATATACTCCTTGTTACTTAAAATTTCCAGTGAAACTATATTCTCCTCCGTTATTACTATTCCTTTTGTCCCATATCCCTGTTTACTGACTATATTATGCATTTCTTCTACTTCCTTCTCTTGCTCTGTGTGCTACATGGAGTGTGGCGACTTGAACTGCTGCACATCGGTGCGAAGTTCTATGTCGAAAACAGACAGAGACACACAGACAGTTTGTCCTTTACTTAACCCCCATGCAGGATGATGTTCGGAAATAGTTACACTCTTATGATTAATCTTTGTACTATATTTGTAGTTGTTAGTTGAAACATACCTGACACTATAGTCAAAGTTAGTTGCATCTGATAGAAATTTGAACTAGACTAAAATAAACATTTTACACTATAGTTCATAAATGGTTTATATGAAGAAAAATAATTATACAGAAGCCTCATTTTTAGCTAAGTCAGTGTTAATATGCGCATATTTTTCGCATGTAATTTGTGTTAATACTTCCAGCTGTCACTAGCTTTATTGTAAATCTGAGTTTCAATTTTCGCGCCCTATCGATGCTGTTACTAGCCTTTTGTATTTCAAACTAATTTGGAAGATTGAATTCTCATTGCCTATTAACTCATTTAAACAATTAACAGTGTGACATTTAATGTTGATCAATGTTATTTAGAAGGTGTGTGCATGACACTACTTCCAACTGTTTTGACTACTCATAAGATTGTAAAAGCTCTCCGCCAACAGTTCATCTTCTCTCTCTCTTGTTGCGGAGTTCCTCTGTAAATTGGTAATTTCCTTCCTTAAAATTTTCTCATCACATAAAATGTGTGCCTGTCAAATAAGGTTTTATAGAGTTTTTGTACTAAGTCGTCTGAGCACACAGTTCTTTCTAGTTCTACACAATGAGATGCAAGCGGGGAGAGTTGTGTATGGAGAGGGTGCTTAGAGTCTGACAAGATAATATTTACGAGTTGATCATGGACTGTTATCAGTTAGAGAACCACTGAAAACCAGCGTTGGAGTACTGGAAAACTGTTTCGTCCTAATTTGGGAATCATCGTCAGTACTCACCCACCACCAGGGTTCGAACCCAGGGCTTTCGCGTTCCAAGGCAAGCTACCTCATATATTATTCAGCCACTGGGACCCAATCCCACAATGGCCAGTCCATGAATTCTAACTTCTACCAATTCGTGATTTAGCGCGACCACCAGCCCATGACATTGGCGGGACATCCATTCTCACGCTTGACTGGATGGACCTCCCTGGTCACGACTTCTCACTAGAACTCCAGGAAACTCCATCCTGTAGCAATTCACTAGCGAGCATCAGGCGGTTGGTGGTCGAGCTAAATCACGAATTGGTAGAAGTTAGAATTCATGGGTTGGTCATTGAGGAATCGGGTCCCAGTGGCTAAATAGTATATGAACTAGCTTTCCTTGAATCTAAAGGGTCCTGAGTTCGAACTCTGGGGTTGGTTACGTACTGCCGATTATTCCCAGAAAACTAGGATGGAACAGCTATCTAGTACTCCAGTGGTGATTTTCAATGGTTCTCTAACTGATATCAATCCGTGATCAACTTGTAAAAACAAATCTAATCCGTACAAACCAACTATTGAAGATAATATTTGCTAATTTCTTGTGGGAGTCCATGTGTCTACTTACAACAGTATTGACGAGTTGGTTTAGCAACAACCCATTTGCCCTACTAACGGCTTTTAGGGCCCTAAGCAGTATAACAAAGTATTTCTTAAGCAGCATGGGGAAAGATAAAGAGAGAACAGTAAAGAAGTATGAACAGAATACAAGAATTAACAAACTGAAACAGTATAGATTGAGTGATACCAGATCGTCTTAACTTCCCCCTCGTAGAACGTCAAAAGAAATATCTTTCTGGAAACTAACATGATGTGTAAAGACCAGGAAAGGTGATCAGAGGAAATACACAGTTCAAAGTATTTAACATTCTAATTGGTTTCAACTTCTCACTGTCATCTATGCTAGTGGTTAGTTTGGTGTCATCCGCCGCCTCTTAGAGTAACATCGTCAGTCACATAATATAAATAACTGTGCATATCTGCACATATTCATTATAACATTAGCTACACTTCATGGTTATTTATTGAAACTTTTAAATTCCTCATCATCGAGACGTTCATTCTAAGAATCGATATCCCAATAGAGATTGATCAGTGCATCCCCGGAAAAGCAGTTGACAGGAATTACAAACACCAAGAACTACCAAGAATACGCAACAACTGATAGTTGTTTCACAAGCAATGGCTATGGCATCAAAAAGGCGTAATAATGCTCCCTAGCGACTGACTACAGGACGGAGTTTCTCAAAGTTCTAGTGAGAAGTCGTGACCAGTGAGCTCCATCCAGTTAAGTGTGAGGATGGATGTCCCACCGATGACACTGGTTGGTGTCAGTCACTCTAAATCACGAGTTGGTAGAAGTTAGAATCCATGGGCTGGCCATTGCCGGATCGGATCTCAGTGGCTGAAGGCCTTGGGTTCGACTCGTGGAAGTGGGTGCGTATTGTCGATGACTCCTAAACTAGGATGAAGCAGCTATCCAGTACTCCAGTGGTGGTTTTCAGTGGTTCTCTAACTGAGATCAATCTGTCGTCAATTTTGAGAAACAAATCAATTCCCTACAAACCAACTCTTGAAAACTAATGAATAAAGCTGTTGGGGGATCGGAAAACAATGAGTGCTGAGTTCAATTCTCAATAAGAACACCATCGATCACTTAAGGTGCAGACAAATCCAGATGATGAGTCCCAAACAGGGTGAAACTCTCTCCTTTAATTCTATCACCAATAGAACAACATTTATAAATCTAATTGGAAAAAATGTATATATTCCCGAAAACATGCCAAAATGATTCAGTTTATAAACTGTTGATAATAAATATTCAATTGAATTTTAGATTTTCCCGTCGATTGATTGGACCGAAGTGCTCGGTCTCAGGTTGACATGTCTGTTGGCTTCTTGTGCAGATGCTTCGACGACGTCTGGGCATGTAATTAGAATTTAATTGGTGGACGGTCACTAGCCTCGGTGGGAACATCATCACTCACTGACTCACTGGGGAATGCAGGTACATCCAGTTAGCTGACGAGTCCCAAATAGGACGAAATACGCATTATCCTGGATTACTCCACTGCTAGTCATCATCCACTAATTAAATGTTATTAATAATAATATTGATTATAATTATTTAATTTTACTCTCAATACCATTCATTACCTTGGACTGAATTGCTGGCAGGTGTTCTTGACCAATTGTTTGACCTAAGCATAATAAACGATTACCAGAATAGACATAAACTGCAGACAATCCAAGTAGGATGTTGTGTTGTACACGAACAGTGAGAACATGTTCATTTAGATGATTGAATAATCTGTGAATCATTGGTAGAAGAGAAATAAAAAAGCAGGCATTTAACAAATAAGGTAGAAGTATATGGTGCAACTACAAACTGTCGACTTTCATCAGCAACTGTCTTCGCTCAACACTCAAGATCAGATTGCCAGAAAAGATCAGCAAAAGGGGGGATCTCTGACAATGAACAAACCAACCCAGCAGGAACCAATTCTGCAACAAATGTGGGGGAAAAAATGCAGGTGGATTAGCCATACTGTCATAAAACCATCAACTGACATCACACGCCAGGCCACTGCTTGAGTGGAACCCAAATGGGAAGTGGCGAGTTGGTCGTCAGTGCGAGGGTGACATGGAGGAGGAGGAGGAGGCCATGTGAGCAGATGTTGAGCCAGGTGAAAATGTTAGGGGAGAACCGAACGCAATGGAGAAGTGCGGCTGAAGCCCTATGTTCCTGTAGGAATTAAAGGAAACAATCATACTATGGTGAAACTTAGTGAGTCAAGAAAAGGATTTCCAACAGGTTGGAGACTTTCATCAACAGCTATCCACTTCGTTGACTCCATGCTGAAGATCAGATGGCCAGCCAACCAGAAAGAATTAGTAACAAGAAACCCTGGAAACAAACCAACAGGCAAGAGCTGATTGCTCAACAAAGATGTAGAAGAAAATGGAGATTGATGGGGCACACACACTGAGGAGGCCGTCGAATGACATCGCCGTCAATGCAAGCCAATACTCAAATGCAACCCTAATGGGAAGTGACGAGTGGGTCGTCAACGCGAGGTTGACATTAAGGAGATCGTTGGTTGAGGAGGAGGAAATGAGAGATTATGGGCTATCGTGGACCTAGCTGAAGAGGACAGAAGAGAATAGAAAGAAGTGGCGATGTGTTGTTTCAACACTATGTTTCACTTGGAACACAAGGGAATAATAATAATACGGTGAAACAGCTTAGTCAAACAACTACTTAAGGTGAATATTTCAATGTAGACTTTATCATAGATACAAGTTGGAGAACTGCTGGAAAGCAAAGAGCACTAGACAGAAATTTCAACCCAGTTATGGATTCTTCAGCAATGTGTCAAGTCATGACCCCAACGAGGCGTTGAACCCAAGGCATTCAAGTTACTTGACGAGCCTATTGTCCATCCAGTCACTAAATTGGGATTCAGTGACTCACATAGCACTACTGTCAATCAGTGCCATAAGCGAGTATCAGCCTCAAACCCTACGTGAAGGAACCTACTGGCCATGAGATAATATTGTTCACTTAGGAACAAGAACCAGTTCCTCCCGATATTCTTCCTTCCTTACCTTCGCAGAGTGCATGAGAGAAGTAGGCTGAAGGCAATTTAGAAAATGTGTGGAAGTCCAGATTGAGATTCAAGGCAGTAATTCAGTAGTTGAAAGAATATGAAATGACAAACATCTCTGACACCTTATACTGAACGGGAAATGTGGTAACCCATTGATTCAAGAAGGGCGTTATTGACCACACTATCTAAAACAGGATTATATTAAGCGTATTTAACTTAATGCACAAAAATAATCGCTGAAAATGAGAAGGCTATCATGAATCATGGTAAAATTTCAAATTCTGTATAAATTATTCATAAGGCAGTCTAGTTCTTAATATTGGCAGCGACTGAATTCCACCAGTCAATTTTTCAAGGAGGCTAGGTGACTCGCCGGTGACATTCAATTTGAAGTATTGTCAGGAGTTGTTGGAGGAAGTTGGCAGGATACTCTGCAACAGGAATTGGTGCTTTTCGAAAATTTCATACATTTGGTTCCCTTGATAAATTTCGACAGAGAAAGAAAGACCATGGATTATCTCGAACAGACGCGACCGACTGACGCTATCAATGAAACAACATACTATCGTCGATACGTCGATGATACGTTTGTTGTTTGTAACGACATGAGTCAGGCATCCGTATTATTTGACAGCCTTAATGAGATCCACCCAAACATTAAATTCACTATGGAATACGAACACAATAACGAGTTCAATTTCCTGGATCTAAATGTAAAAAGAAGAAACGATGGGACGGTTGGAAAGCTCATCTACAGAAAAGAAACTTGGACTGGACAATATCTTCACTACAACAGCTTCTGCCCTATGAGCTATAAGCGGGGATTAGTAAGGACACTATACGACAGGATCAGGAAGTTATGTTCGCCTAACAAGGTAGAAGAAGAATTTAGCTTTGTTGAAAAATGCCTTAAGGAAAACGGGAATCCAAAAGGATTTTTCCTAAAGTACAGCAAAGAAAGAGATGAGAAAGAGAAGTATCCAACAGATGAAAAGAAGAAAGTGTTCATTTGCCTCACATACAACAGAAAAACAGTATCGCAAAAGATTGAAAAGAGGATGACAGGAGCAATAAAGAGATGCTTCCCTGCAGCCAAGCTGGTGACACTATACAGCACTACATGCTCTATAAGCCAATCGAAACTAGACAATTACCCTACTGACGTTACCTCCTACCGTATTTATAAATTTACGTGCACCTGCAGCAGCAAGTACATTGGAAACACAGAAAGAAGGGCTTCTATCCGGTTTTTAGAGCATATTCTGAGAAACTCATGCTTAAAAGGAAGCAGATATTTACAAAGTGCAATTACCGGGCACCTTGTGGATATGGGTCATTTTGTCGAGATTTCAAAATCTTTCAAAATATTAAATATACAAAGGACAGCGAATCCACTCCGATTTACTGGTGAAGCAATTGCAATCAAACGTCTCAGACCAAACTTATGCACACAGAAAGAGAGTGTAGTTGATCTCTCACTCCCTTGGTAACCATATCACTTTCATTACACTGGTTAGTCATACACACTAGTGAGCTCAGCTCACTAAGAAAGTTTTCAAATTGATGAACCTTGACCTTCTCGAGTTTGCCGTGTTGACGTACAAGCTAACACCGTTTATTAGATTTTTCTGTTTTCTGTCTTCTCTTACCCACCTTCCTTTTTGTTTTTTCATAGTTTGATAGCATATAAATTGATGGTAACTTAAACTATAAATTGTGATACTTATATTCCGGATACGTTCACCTTATTTTTTTTCTTTTTACCTTTCAAACATTGAAGTATGAGACGTTATTTAATTTATAACCATTGTAATTTCAGGTAGTTTACAGCAGCTGATGAGGGGAGCCTGTGAAATAGAATGATGTCATTCTACACTGCAAATCTGGTCCCTCTTTCTCTGTCGAAATTCGTGCTTTTTGACACTTGTCAGCATGGTGTATCATCACCTCAGAGGTACTTATATTCCCTTGGAGTTTCAAACCCGCATTATGAAGCACCTCCTGTGGAGGAACTATAATTAATACAACGATACTAGAGAATAACTAATATCCATAATATCTCAGTCTTAGTGTTTTTTTAACTATAACATCAGGTGTCACGCGGTCGAATCTCTCCAAGGAGCACAGAGTTATTTGAGTTTGCAGATAAACCTTTCCGATGAGAGCGCGAAAACCAGACTCAGGGCTTCCTGTTACTTGCCTTCAGCCATTTGGTATCAGTTTCTAAGTCTAACCGTAATTCTTGTAGATGAATTGCAGTCAGACTTTTACAGTCGTCAAAAATTTTGAAGTTCTAACTATCTTACCAGGCGACATCTTCAATGATAACTTCAATGTGAAGAGTAATCTTTGCGAATTCCGCCCCCCCTTCGATGAAGTCAGTTTGCAATTAATAAACGTCTGGATGTAGTTCAAATTTAATACTTCAAATATCAGGTTCACGAGACGATTAAATGCCGAGAAAATTGAAGAAAATCATAAGGAAATACACAGGAACAACCGAACACTCTCTGAGTTACTGAGGGGAAAAATATTTCATTTGCTGAGAATTCTAAAATCTCATTTCATTGAAAACTTAGCGATGATCATCTTGTCCAAAAGGAAAATGGTAGTCTCTAAAAGTCAGTTTACCGAATGTCTACATGGAAAGGACAATACCTACATTTTAATAGTTTTTTTCTAAATAGCCAGCTATAAACGTGCACTAGTCAAGACTCTATATTATAGAGGTAGGAGATTATGCTCTATAGAGAAATTACAGGAAGAATTTATGCTTCTTGAAAAGATGTTGAAAAGCAACGGCTAACCTCAAAGGTTCATTAACAAGTACGGAAGATCTGAAGGCTCAAATGTCAAGCAAATCACAGTGGAGAAAAAGTTCATCTACATTCAACTTGGTTTTAAAAGTGAAAATATTGCAGTAATTTTTTATAGTTTGGTTTGTAAGGGTTTGTTATGTTTTTACGGGTTGAATCCCAGTGGGTGCGTACTGCCGATGATTCCCAAACTAGGATGAAACAGCAGCTGTCCATACTCCTTGGTTTTCAATGGTTCTCTAAGTGATATCAGTCCGTGATCAACTAGTAAAAACATTACAGTAATTGTCAGCAGGAGATTGAGGACGTCACTAGGCAGAGCCTATCCTGCAGCTGGCTAATTTGGTTCCCGTCTATCGAACAACATGCTGTTTGGTGCAATCAAAAGTCGGCAGATATCCTTCTCAACTCAACGACGCCATACTTGGCCCGTGTTCTAAGCGACAGAGACAATGTTAAGCGTGAAACCTATAACTTGCTTTCTTATTAACAACATAATTTTAGGCTCTTTTATTTCTCTCTTATTTTGTATTCTATAATACTTAGCTACCTAAAATAGTAACATCGGCTTCCTTTTTTGTACTTTACTATATTCCTTCTATTGTGTATCCACTGGTTCCGACTATATTAGCACTATGAGTATTACAAAATTGTCCTGTCATTAACCATCATGTAATTATTAGTTTTGTGGTTGTCTTTTTCTTATTTTTTTTCGGCAATATTAAACTGACAATCATTGGTTGTGAACGCCATAGTCACCACCTTAAAAGAATTTTGTATTATTCAGGATTACTCACACTACCACTACAAACACTGCATTAGACCTGACAATAAAAAACAAAACAACAACCCTGAAATGTTATTTTATGATTGTTTAGAGTTGT